ACACAGACCAACCCAATACCCACGGGTCAAAAAATCCCCCCTTCGCGTTGCGGAGCACGCGGGTAACCCTAGTATGTTCCAATTCAGCTCTTCTATGTTGCACCACCTCAGTTACAACAACGCGTGATTTGTACCTATGCTTCCACCACTAAGGTCGGGTCAAATGAGGTCAGACTACATTTTTTTTTTCATCCAATAACTTGGCACGGAATAAGATTGTGTGTGCGCTTCAAAATGGCTTCAAAATGGTGCCACAGCGCTCCCTGCGATCAGCCGAGTCGAAGGGTTTGCAGTATGATGCATTTGATGAACTAACGATAAACTTATTGAACTTAGTTAATGAACTATGACGCTTCCGGCTTCACGTCAGCGTGACGCTGACTATCCGATCTACCCCGGCGCACACAACCAGCCGGGATACCATCGCCGCACGGTACGACAGTGTGACACTTACTAGCTTTTTCTATTCGGCACCCATAGCCAGCCGAGCTCGATCAACCCGGCGCACACAACCAGCCGGGATACCATAGCCGCACGACAGTGTGACACTTGCTAGCTTTATCTATTCGGCACACATAGCCAGCCGAGCTCGATCTACCCCGGCGCACACAACCAGCCGAAAGCAGATGTGCTTCCCTCACCCGGCGCACACAGCTAGCCGGGTGATCCACGAGGTCTAACCACTCGGCGAACGCATCCAGCCGAGCGGGACTACCTGAACCACACAGCCGGCCGAGGTACCCACGAGAACTAACCACTCGGCTAACACATCCAGCCGAGCGGGACCACCTGGCGCACAAAGCTAGCCGGGAGACCCACGAGATCTAACCACTCGGCGAACACATCCAGCCGAGCGGGACCACCCGGCGCACACAGCAAGCCGGGAAACCCACGAAATCTAACCACTCGGCGAACACATCCAGCCGAGCGGGATCACCCGGCGCACACAGCTAGCCGGGAAACCCACGAAAACTTACCACTCAGCGAACACATCCAGCCGAGCGGGACCACCCGGCGCACACAGCAAGCCGGGAAACCCACGAAATCTAACCACTCAGCGAACACATCCAGCCGAGCGGGACCACCCCGCGCACACAGCCAGCCTGGGTACTCACGAGGTCTAACTACTCGGCGAACACATCCAGCCGAGCGGGATCACCCGGCGCACACAGCTAGCCGGGAAACCCACGAAAACTTACCACTCAGCGAACACATCCAGCCGAGCGGGACCACCCGGCGCACACAGCAAGCCGGAAAACCCACGAAAACTTACCACTCAGCGAACACATCCAGCCGAACGGGACCACCCGGCGCACACAGCTAGCCGGGAAACCCACGAAAACTTACCACTCAGCGAACACATCCAGCCGAGCGGGACCACCCGGCGCACACAGCTAGCCGGGAGACCCACGAGAAATAACCACTCAGCGAACACATCCAGCCGAGCGGGACCACCGGGCGCACACAGCTAGCCGGGAAACCCACGAAATCTAACCACTCGGCGAACACATCCAGCCGAGCGGGACCACCCGGCGCACACAGCCAGCCTGGGTACTCACGCGATCTAACTACTCGGCGAACACATCCAGCCGAGCGGGACCACCCGGCGCACACAGCTAGCCGGGAAACCCACGAAAACTTACCACTCAGCGAACACATCCAGCCGAGCGGGACCACCCGGCGCACACAGCAAGCCGGAAAACCCACGAAAACTTACCACTCAGCGAACACATCCAGCCGAGCGGGACCACCCGGCGCACACAGCTAGCCGGGAAACCCACGAAAACTTACCACTCAGCGAACACATCCAGCCGAGCGGGACCACCCGGCGCACACAGCAAGCCGGGAAACCCACGAAAACTTACCACTCAGCGAACACATCCAGCCGAGCGGGACCACCCGGCGCACACAGCAAGCCGGGAAACCCACGAAATCTAACCACTCGGCGAACACATCCAGCCGAGCGGGACCACCCGGCGCACACAGCCAGCCTGGGTACTCACGAGGTCTAACTACTCGGCGAACACATCCAGCCGAGCGGGATCACCCGGCGCACACAGCTAGCCGGGAAACCCACGAAAACTTACCACTCCGCGAACACATCCAGCCGAGCGGGACCACCCGGCGCACACAGCAAGCCGGGAAACCCACGAAATCTAACCACTCGGCGAACACATCCAGCCGAGCGGGACCACCCGGCGAACACATCCAGCCGGGAGACCCACGAGAACTAACCACTCAGCGAACACATCCAGCCGAGCGGGACCACCCGGCGCACACAGCTAGCCGGGAAACCCACGAAATCTAACCACTCGGCGAACACATCCAGCCGAGCGGGACCACCCGGCGCACACAGCAAGCCGGGAAACCCACGAAATCTAACCACTCAGCGAACACATCCAGCCGAGCGGGACCACCCGGCGCACACAGCCAGCCTGGGTACTCACGAGATCTAACTACTCGGCGAACACATCCAGCCGAGCGGGATCACCCGGCGCACACAGCTAGCCGGGAGACCCACGAGAAATAACCACTCAGCGAACACATCCAGCCGAGCGGGACCACCCGGCGCACACAGCAAGCCGGGAAACCCACGAACTCTAACCACTCGGCGAACACATCCAGCCGAGCGGGACCACCCGGCGAACACAGCTAGCCGGGATACCATGTCGATCTACTCGGCTCACCTAGCCAGCCGATCGCGATCCTACCCCGGCGAACACACCCAGCCGAGGGCCACTATGTTTTTTTTTCTCTCTCTCTCTCTCTCTCTCTCTCTCTCTCTCTCTCTCTCTCGGCACTTAAAATACGATCAACTCGGCACACAGCCAGCTGAGCTCGCCCGGAGCACTCTGCCAGCCAGAGTGCGTATCATCGCTGCACATGTCATGTCAGCCGAGCCGATTCGTTATGTTCCTGATGCCTAGAGTCTCGTATGTGCCTTGCGGCTTTCCTGTTAACATATACATACATACGTACACTCACTTGCCAAGTGCGTCTCTGCACAATGGTCTGGGTTCGTTCACGGCATATTCCATCCGTTTGACTCTTGAGCGGGTCAACCATGCAGGTCCCTTATCACTAGTCTCGCTGGCACGCTAGCCTGACTTACCGGCCATGTATGTTTCCCTTGTGCTCCCTCTGCTGAGCACCAGCTACTTTGTCGTGCCACAAACCTGTCTCCCGTCCTCGCCCACTGCTCGCTCATATCACACAGTCATTCGCTCGATTTCCACTCTCTCGACTGTCCGTTGCCTCCGAGACCACGACCATTTTCCACAGCCTGTCGCTTGGTTTCCACCCTTCTGCACTGTCCGCCGCCTCTGAGCTCCCGTCTTCGACTGCCTGACCTGTTTTGCGGCAGATCCCTCCCTCCCCTTGTGTACTGTGTGTGCCTTATCTCGCCTCGGCCGCGGCCCGGTCCCCTCCCCGTCCCTGGACCCGGGCCGTCAACCCGCGCACCACGACTCGGGTCTCTTCCCACCCCTCTGCCCCTCCCTCCCTCCTCGTGCTGGCCATCCTCCGCTCACTCTATTCGAGCCCCAAATCAAGCTATTTACGGCGTGGATGTATTGCGGTACAGTCTATATTTACGGCGTGGATGTATTGCAGTACAGTCTATATTTACGGCATGGATGTAGTGCGGTACAGTGTATGCTTAAGGCGTTGCTGTAGTGCGGTGCAGTCTGTATTAAAGGCGCTCCTGTGTTGCGATACTGTCTAAATTTAGGGGGCTGCTGTACTGCGGTACAGTCTATATTTACGGCGCGGATGTAGTGCGGCACAGTATATATTTGTGGTGTGGACATAGTGCGGTAAAGTCTAAATTTAGGGCGTGGGTGTAGTGCAGTGCAGTCTATATTTGCAGTGTGGATGCATTGCGGCACAGTATATTTACGGCGTGAATGGACAGCGGTGCAGTCTATACTTACCGTGCTGCTGTAGTGCGGCCTATAATACTATATAACTGCGCTGCTGTATTGCGGTACAGTATATATTTACGGCGTGGATGAAGTGCGGTGCAGTCTAAATTTACGGCGCTGTGGTAGTGCGGTACAGTCTATGTTTACGGCGCTGCTGCACTGCGGCACAGTCTCTAGTTTCGACGTGGATGTAGTGTGGTACAGTCGGGATTCACTGCGCTGCTACAAATGTGCAGTGCGGCATAGTCGGCATTCACAGCGCTGCTATTTGTCGTGGCGTGTGATGCTTACAATCTTTATTTTCAGGGCGACTGAAATAAGTTTCCGAGCCATCTTTTCACGGCATCTTTGTCACCTGAAGTATAAACTTCAAGCAATCCTTTATCTCTCCAGTGTTCATATATGCAGTTGTGTTGCGAAGGCATATCGTGAAAAAAACACAGTTTATATTGCTTTTATAGTTATAACTGAGCACAGGTGTTTCTGCGCGGCCTTTCAGTAAGAGTATTCTGGTGAATACATGAGTGTCGTGTTTATGTGCGAGCCCATCGTTGTGGGGCCACCGTGAGTTAGCATCACATCTCATAAGCAAAGCCTAGTCAGTAAGTGTGTGGATCGTGTGTATTATTGTCAGTTGTTGCCCAAAGTCGTAGGTCTCATTGTCCATGCATACCTCAGGTGTATTTGGTAACAAAAAATACGCACATATGCAAACAATAAGAATGCATGAGTGAACGGTCTCACTGTTAGAGAAAAGTGATCAGTCGCTTGTAACCACTATAAACAAGTCAGAAAATAACTATGGTCGATTTTTAATTAATGAGGTCGCTCTTTTAGAAACCTTGTATGCATACCATAAAATTTCGAATTTCCTTACAACCGATATTCCGATAACGGATAACTACGTAGATGGCGGTAGATTGCCGAGTTCATTAGGGCTCAGGTGTCTGTTTTTACCTGCGGAGCTCCGTCGGCGGTGCAGCGGCCGTACGGCGAGACTCGGTGACGTCACCGGCCGGCCGCGTGAGTCAGCACGTGACCCCCGGCCAGGTATTGATTCGGTGGGCGGCGCCTGGCGGGTCAGTCACGTGGCCGACACCGTGCCCAGTCGCCCCACGCCGCGCGGCCCGGCAGCAGAGCACTCCTTCAGGTGGTTCGGTCAGCGGTCAGCACGGGCCAGCCTCTCCGTAAACACGGTCAGTCATCAGCCGGATATCGCCGTCTTTTGTTGTGTGGGACAGATACCTCACATGGAGAACTTAACTTAAATTTAAATAATTCGTGATATCTCATGTCAAAGTGTCATGTGGTTAGTTGTTTGTGATACCCCTTCATTGAACTAGGAAGGAGGAGAGGGGGTTGATTTTTGAACCGTCCAAGTCGGTTCTGGGAGCCGCCGACCGTGACCGGACGGGCCCGGTCGGTTTCAGAGTGATCCATGGCAGGAAGATGGTCACCGCCGTCCGAGAGACATCGGCACCGCTTCAATAGCGCGGTAAGTGCAGCGCACTGGTGCCCGACGTCCGTTCGTATGTCCGTCAGTAGCGCTTAGCGACAACGCACACATTCATGGATTAATCCCATCCAGCCGGGCGTTGAGGAACCTTCTCATTTTTTTTCATCGGTAGACGAATTTGTAGAAGCAGTATGCAGTAGCTCCAGGTTAGATATCTGTTATGGTAATGTTTCCCATCGCATCTATGGAGTTCAAATGTTGTCCATGGTGACCTGAGCTCCAGGGAAAATACAGAAAAAAGCTTATATGTTTTCCTATAGCGGCATGGACCATTTGATGCCGTCACTGGGACATAGTAAAGTCGTTCAATTGGGTGTACTTCTGAAAACATTGAGGTAGGATTTCGGAGTCATTCCGAACTCTTCGGCTCTGAGTGAATGCATTTCACCCAGCCGGCACAGGGAAGGGTGATTTAGCTCCCAAGGATGTCGTCAGCTGGGATCCGCACCGTTTGTCGGGGTTTGCTGATATTTTCAGCCTGCCTTGGACCATTCCTGAGCCTTGTTTCAGCTCCGCCACAGCATCTTTACGCTGGAATAGAACTGAGCTACACACAGTGTCCAGCAGTGTCCAGCACAACAGTCGCTAAAAGGCCCATACAGCACTCGTACTCAAATGTGCTATCTAAAATTGAAGACAACTTCGAGCTGAAACAGCATGAGCAGGTGTGATGTGTGTTTGATTACGTGTTTACGACTTGCGTACATATGCATGTATATGCATATTGGACATGTGTCCTTATATGTAAACCCGTCACGTTATCATTTAATATGATCTGCAGATCATATTGAATGATAAAAAACGCGTCAGTTAAATATCACGGAGATCAAGAACGCTTAAAGCGTGACATGAGCAAAATCATCCTTATTTATTGAGGACAACTGAAAGGTTACAGAATCTTCATTTGAGTGACTACTAAGGCAAGCATGTTGCTGGCCCAATTAGTATGGAGATCGGTCCGAACCCTTAGCCACCTTTCGCTACCTGATTGAGTTAGAGATTCGCGAAATAGCAACGGTACAACTCTTGACGATACGAAACCGATGGAGTCTAGTTTTTAGATCCTAGGGCATTGGTTGACCCCAGGTCAGGTCAATAAACCAAACTCAAGAGCAGTATAGAGCTTCTTGAAGTAAAGAATGTAAGGAGTATTTTGAGGCCGTGGTACCAATTTTCATATTTCTGTTGGGTTAATCACAGTGCAGTGGTGCATTTGGGATAGGTTGGGTCAGGTCAGGTTCGACCAAGTATCAGACTTCCCGTCGACTATTTTTGGTAGGCGCTGTTGGACGTTTCAGCCTCGCGGATAAGCGCCCTAATCCAACAACATCCCTGAGAGCTCGCCAACATGTGAATGGGATCAAAACTATTTCCCAATGCATAAATAAATGCTTATTTCGGAGCCAGTCGCCTAGACATCTACCCCTAGAAGCTGTCAAACTTGGAAACTCAACTAAACTCGCCAAAGGTTAATGATCTTACTGGGATTTTGACACCCACCATACCTACTCCATTGGACAAACAACATTACACATATCAGCATGTTGAAAAGTTTGGAAATGCACAAATCAAGCGCACTAACCTACATATGCCTAATCGCCACTCCGGCCTGACGGTCTTAATAGCAAGCCTCAGATCAAAGGTTCTCTGAGCAAGGCTCCTGGCATATTCAGAGTAGGTCTAAAAATAATTAACACAATGGCATTTGAAGGTTTGTCGCTAACCGCCACTTCTTTCGCGACTTATTCGTGGGTAACCGAGAGGGATCCATCCGATCCCCTCTGCGTCTTAAGTGCAATTAACGAGCTAAGAACCGCTTACAGACTTGTAAGTAGGAATCGACTGATATGTCATTGAGCGATAAAGTTCATCGCTCTGAGCGCTTAAAAAAAAAACTGGAAATGGTAAGCTCTCAAAGTCACGATTATGTTCACAGGATGTAAGCTACACAATGGTATCTATTTACATTTTACACCATTTTTGTCATTGCATCATACATCACGTGGCCTTCCATACGTCTTAACGATACTGGTCAAATCAATTAAGTTTCCTTTCATCAAAGGCAATGTGCCAAATAACTACATGTATAAAAGTATTTCTGGGGATAGGTAGGTACGTACACATCCCCTGAAAGGGCCTCAAACCCCTCTCCGACCAGGGTTCTCTCCACGCGAAGTCATTCTCTAGTCTCAAAAGGCCCTAACCGGCTTCTGAGGGCCCGTGGTAGTGTAAAAGCGTACTTAAGACTCGGTTCCTAAGCACGTTGAGTACCCCTGTCCCGGGGAATAGGATCTCACCGCTGGTGTATGTATGAGGTATGTACAGGTGATAGCGCTCCACCACGCCGGGTGGCTCAACACGGGCAGCTTGCCGAAATGTTTCCTGCGTAAGTAAGAGCACAAGGAAATTCAATAATTATACAACCACTTCAATTTGGCCCAAATCTGCGGGTCCTTAATCAGTGAAAATGCATCTCCGCCGACAGGTTTTAGTGATGGTTCACTTATGACATTTCGACCAGTGTCAAAAGGGACATATTTCGTCACTCTTACACACTTTGCCGGGTGTGAGCCTCTTTTTTCGATGAAAATCTGGTCGGGGCCACCAGCTGTGGAGTAAGGGTAGAAAACGAGCCCAAAATGTTCCTAAAAGTAAGCTAAGGGCTTGAATTTTAGCAAAGTGATGTGTACTACGACTGGGGCCGGAAATGTCGAATTTGACCGACTCCGACTTCACGGCCTTGGCTCTTGCCGCCAGCACTGGCCATTCCGCATCATTCGACGGAACAATGGATTGAGAAAGCCGAGATGTTTGCAGAACGTGTAAAAGCCACTATAAGGGTTAGGGTCAAAGGTAAATTCCTTCCTTGTGCCAGCGAGGATTAAAATATGGTCTGAGCCTCGCCCAGCAAGGCCTTTCCCATAACACAGCCGGCTGGGGGGGGGGGGGGGGGTGAAGGGGGGAGTACAACCTCCCGGCGTTTGTCTCCTGTGATGCCGAGAAACGGCACATATACTGAATAAAGTGGACCTATAGGAAATCTCACCCATATGCGAGTGAAGTTACTCAAGCTAGGTTTAAATTTAAAGGGTTTTAGTGATGTAAAGTAAAAAAAAAAATGCTAGAACTCGTCACAAGCTTTTGACGCATTGAATTTGTTCTACATTGTAAAGCAATACCAAAATCATAAACATGCTCAACACGTCAATGCGCATCGAAGCGTATGCCTTTTTTCTCTTCGGAGCACTCTTGCTAAGTTCCTTACAGCTAAGCAAACTACGAGTCTCACCAGACCTATCGCTTTTCTACACATACGTTCCGGCAGAGAGGAAGAGAGTTGGCGGACCCCGCCGTATCAACCCTAGTTCAGCTAGAGGCTAGCGAAAAAGAAACGAGCAAGTGTGCCGTCATAAGACGCAGCGAGTGGTACCCAATTTTAAGCTTCCATGTCAGGCGGCAAACTCTGAGGTAATGACCTCAGAGTTGCAAGTCCCTCAAGATAGGGGTTCTGTTTTAGGTGAAAACTTCACAAAAAATAGTTGTAAAGCTGCGACTTTGTCATCATTGTATTTCTCATGGCCAGGCACGTAAACTGATATACAATTTGTTTGGATATCACTTTGAATCGTTGACGTCATGTCAAGGTCATGTCATGGCCTCGACATGAAAAAGGGCCACTCAGGCCACAAAACTGGTGGGTGGAGGCAATATCGCATGCTAGTCTATTCGACAGGTCTTTTCTTGGCCATCTGTGACTCTTCCGATTCGCCATAACTCACTTACATAGAAAATCATTGACGGGAAACTTCTAGGTTACGTCAAATGCGACGTTATTAAGGTCAGCAATCTCAACAATGCCAAAGTGAATAATTGGACCTTGCAGGAAGTGTATAGAATCACGCTTTCTTTTGCCTCAGATAGTCTTAGACCATTCCCTGTGCCAACATAACTGGTTCCATCATCAGTTTCCATGTTTCCCACACTGACTTGTGCCTAATGGTGAGGTCACTAAACCAGCCTGAACTCAGTTGACCCTTATGAAAATTCAAAGACGTGTAAACTGTGATGAATTGGGAGCTTACTACCACATACTTGCTAGATGTATTTCACTGCAAATGATTTCCTGGCACTGAAGGCAAAGTTGCGACATTTTACGACCATGCAGAACTTCACTTGTGACGTCATAGGTTAACTGAAATTGCTGTTAATGCCACAGAAGAATCCAACTTAGATTCAAATTTAGGCACACCAACTGAAAAGCCTTCTATCGCTGATGCGTTCTGACTTCCGAGCAATCGTCCGAAAACTTTCATGGGTCCACACTATACCACCCCCTTGACCGTCAAAGGTTGAAACAAGAAGTTAATATATTGATAGAAATTAATGCTAAGTCCGGCATGCTCCAACTCTTTCACATTTGCCTGTAGTCTCACAAATCGTCGAAAAATCCCATTTAATCTGACCTGTGACATCATCGATAGAACTAAGGTCAATTGAATTGCATCACTTCCCATTGGGCAATCGATGACCGGTTGAATGTTGAAAATCGGCCCCTAAGTTCCGCAGATAACATGGGGGCCAAAACAGCTCCTCACGAGCGACGGACAGGTTACCGAAATAGCCCTACGCCATTCTGGTTACCACGGCATTAAAATGCACTCGATGCGACAGTGGGTTTCTAAAACGATTTACGTCCATCGTTGTCTCAGTATGACCTTAACCCGCGCCCGGCTGGGGGTCCTGGATTTCCACGCCCTGCTGGGGGGGGGGTGTTTGAACACCCCCCCCCTTGTAACTCGGCTCCTGGGCCAGGTAGCGATACGCGGAAGGCGGCGTTCGAAAGAGCGTCAAAAATAATGACGAAATCACTTCGGTCAATTTTTTGGTCAGGTCAAAGGTCAGGTCACCAGAGGTCATTGAAGGCAAAATTTCGCCGATTTCCAGGTCTAATGTCGAAAATTTCCAAGAAGCCAACGCAT